CGTGTGTCTTAGTGGGCATCACAGGAAGGACAGGAGAGAGACAACGCTGACCTCCCCGGGCAGTTGCCCACAATAATCTGGGCAGTAAAATTCCACATCGGGGGGTTACATCAGCTCTGCTTCTAAGAGTCTCTGGGCATCTTCAGCCCCCAAGTCTAATATTCTTTAACTTTAAGCATCACTATACCAGGCTTTGCACTAACACCAGTATATCCATGTAGCAGAGGAGAAAACTAGGTGGTAATGTGGTAAAGTCTCAGTAATTGGATATTGCAGAGCAAAATGCCAACGGAAGTCAGCTTTTCTAACTCCTCAACCAAGGACAGGATGGTGGCAGGCAGGGTAGGGGTGGGCTTCCGGCAGTGACAGAGGGTCCTCAGAGGACTGGCCTCTAAAAAAGCCAAGAGAAGAGTCACACTGTTTTCTCTCTCCTTTTCCTACAGGGCCCTTTCCGGGAGGCATGGTGAGTTGCACACGATTGTCCTCTGGCACTGGTGGCTGTGGTGGGGCTCCAGTTAATTCTGCAGCAGCTGGGAGGAACAGGCTCTCAGCTGGCTGCCTGGATGCGTGTCTGTCTGCACCAGCCTGGCGACACGGCCGGCCGCTTGGGCAGGGAGGGATAGCTTGCTGGCGGGAAGCAGAGCTGCACAATCATCTTGAAAGTAATCAGGCTGTTGACCTTGCCGGGGCTGCTGGATGGGTCCTGGGCATTTGCAGGGCACTTTTGTTCTAAGCATGTTGTGGAAGGAAGAGATTTATGAACACAGGGATCGTCCCCTCTCCCCACTCTGTCCAGCCCTCTGCCTTCATCACAGCTCCCTCCTCTCCCATTTCCCAGGACTGTGAGTGTGTGTAGGGTCTGTGAATGTCAGAGATCACCATCACCTTTCTATTAGTCTCATATTTGTCCATCGGTGCAAGTGTATGAGAAGGCAAGCCTTGGAGTCACAAACCCTCCCAGCCCCAGGCTCTCCTTGCAGACCATCCCTGCCTCAGAGGCCCTCCCTATGTCACCTCCTGGCTCTGAGAGCATGGAGCAAGGAAATCCCTGCAGGGAGTGTGACTTTGGTATTTACTATGGGTAATATCTTGAAATATTTCAATCATGCTAAAGACAATTCACAACACTAGAGCACATGCACATACGTTCTCACCTTTGATCCTCGCAGCAAACCTGGGAGAGGGTCATTTTTAAGGTGATATTTTACAGAAGAGGAAACTGAAGTGTGAAGAGTTGAAGTGCCTGAGATCACACAAGAGGGAGAGCTCTTGTTCTATCCTGAATCCCCTGCTCCCCCTCCTCTCACCTGCACCCTCCAACGGCATGTTTGTCTTGGATGTCCTGGTTTTGAAAATTAGGGGGTGAAATGATTTGCTATTTGGACAACATTCTACCTCCAGAAAGTTTCAAAAACACCTTAGAAGCACGACTGAGTCACAGCATAATGGCATATGGTGAAGAGAAATAACTAATCCCAGTTCAAACTGCCTGACAGAGCCCTGCACCCTGCCACAGGCCCAATAAAGGGTTGCTTTGTGCACACATGCATGGATACACACTACACATGCGCGTGTGCGCACGAGAGACAGGCCCCTAGGGTAGGAATCAACCCCGAACCTCAGCCCCAATCCCAGATTCCCAAGTCCCCAGCACAATCAGTACTCCAAAGTTTTCCCATCCGCAGGGGCCTTTAAAGGCTGTGGCCTGGGGACCTGGGTGGCTTCCTCTCCAGGCGTCGGCTTGTACTCCACATTCTGCCTTCCTCTTTTTCAGAGCGTGATGCCTTTGACACCCTGTTCGACCATGCCCCAGACAAACTCAACGTGGTGAAAAAGGTGGGAAGGGGACACCTGCGAGGGAGGGAGGGAGGGGCTTGAGCCACAGCAGAGCCTTAGCACAAACCCACCCCTGCCACTTGTGAGCTCCCGGCCAAACTGGTGTCATCACCTGATCTCCACAGACACGGAGCTGTCCCCCTGGCTGTCCGCTCACCTGTCTTTCTCACGGGAAGCCTATCTAGTCTTTTTCCCCTCTGTGGGCATGAGTACCCTGTCTTCACACCAGCTGACCTCAGCTGTCCCTGCTGCTCGCACAGAATGCCCTGTCCCCTGGCTCGGGGACCTGCATGGAAGGAGGGATGCAGTGGGGTCATCTGATCTTGGGCCCCCTTCCTAGTTTCCCCTTGGCCCCCTGACCCGGGCTCAGGCACTCCACCTGTCCTTCTGCTTTTCGGGACTTCCCTGTTCCTTGCACAGTCCTGACTTGGGTGCGACCTAAGGCCTAGAGCCAGTGGCCCTCCTTGTGCTCTCAAGAACCTCTGCAGGGGGACCTCCTGGGCCCCTGCTCTCCCCCTGACCAGGCTGGGGGCAGCCACAGGGTCTGGCCCTGGTGAGAGCCTCCATCCCAATGCCCGCTTTGCTTCCCTTCCAGACACTCATCACTTTCGTGAACAAGCACCTGAATAAGCTGAACCTGGAGGTCACAGAACTGGAAACCCAGGTGGGGACTGCCCACCATGCTTCCCACACCGGCACCGCAGCTCTCCCTGCGGAGGGGGCGAGGGCCTCAGAATCTGTTCTTCTCAGAGGGGGAGAACTAGATGGAATTTCCCCTTGGATTTTTCCCTACTTATTTGACAAGTTGCCAGAATGAATACCCATATACTCTTCACCTAGATACACTAATTGTTAACACTGGGCCACACTTTGTCTTTCTCTCTCCACCCCTAAATACTTCAGCATACATCTCTTAAGAACAGGTATACCTCTTGGATAACCACAATATGACTGTCAGATGCAGGCAGTTTTAACATTGACACAATACATTAATCTACTCAAATTGAATCATACGAAATTGCTGACATTTGACTGCTTTTAACCTACTAAAGTGGCAATGCCATATGGTTGGAAAAAATGCTCTAGATTCAGATTTTGCCAGTGGTCCCAATGTGTTCACATGCTGCATTCGGTTGTCACATCTCTGTAGTCTCTTTTTAATATAGAACAATTCCTTAGCCTTTCTTGGCATGACATTGACCTTTTGGAAGAGTGCAAGCCAATTGGTTTATAGAATGGCCCTCCATTTTTTTCCCCTCATGGTTAGATTCAGGCTACGCATTTCCAATAAGAGCACTCCCTGAGCAAGGCTGTGTTCTTCTCAGGGAATCACAGGAGGAGACACATCTGTGTGCCCCATTCCTGGTGATACCACGGATCACTTGGTTTAGGTGGCATCCTCCAGATTTCCCTACTATAAAGTTCTTTTTCTTCCCTTTACATGTCATGCATCCTGTTTCCCAGCATCCTTTTATTCTTGGAGAATTTCTACATCTTGGTTTTCTCTAGAGCACATGGGCACCACCCATTACTGTTAAAGTCAATTGCCCAGTCTGTGGCTGACCTCTGCCCAGAGTCTCTGGACTATGTGGAATGAGCTTCATATACTCTCCTGGGAGATCAGAAATGCTCTGTGAAAGTGATGTTTCCTCAAGTGAGCTGGTATGGGCTTTGGAACCTTCACGTCTGTTTTCAAGGGCAGGGTTGCTATAAAAGGGGGTCACCGCTGGGCACTTTGGGTGACTGCAGGCTTTACCCACTATCCCCACCACGTCAGCAAAACCA